ACTTCTATGAGTGAACGAAGGCGTTCGCAAAAATATGCAATGCATAACTGTTTAAATAGTTCTTCTAGCCCCTTAAACAATATTATTCTGGCTGAACCTTGTTGCTGATAGTAACTGCTTACACGTAATTTATGGGCTTAAGCGTAGGAAAGCAATTAATAATCCAACCATCTCCAGTCATTTAAATGGTGTCCGAGTAAACATATTTCCTATTGACAATGATTGTTGCATACGGCGACGAGAATTAATGGTAATCTTTACTTGTGTTTTTGACCGCGCACGTGATAATGCGAGGTGAAGGCGTTCGCAAAATTATTCCTACTTTTTCAAACGTCTGTCCCCGACTTTTGTTGATAGTCATACAATAGGACAGTCTCACAGGGTATCAAATCTCCTGAAAGTCACTCCCGTATTGTTGTCAGCGTAAACAAGAGGCACACTTTCCAGTAAGCAGATTTCTGCATCGCAGCAGTCGTTTGTCGCACATAATTTCTAACACCTCCAGTCTTGTGCCGTTTACCATCCTTATTCTGACGTCTGTTTCGTAAGAGCATAATTATTGCACCAGGCTTCAACAATAACTTGTATTGCGGCATACCAGAGGTGCCAAATTAAGCAAGAATTCTTCGTCTTCACATGGCATTCCAACAGTCTATGGCGTAAATCTCTGTAAGATCGCCGGAAGTCATTTTCAATACCTTCTTAAGTTCAAGCACGTGGCAGTTGCGCACAGTCAATAATGCCATATTACCCATAAGTTGGAAGATATAAGAACTTCTTCGTTATACATCCACTTAACCACGTCCTCTTCACTTTCCATGCACATTTCGGAAGGAATATCAATACTCCCCTCGCCCTTCAGATTTCTGCCTTCTCATACGGCGTGTAGCCATGCGGCATGGTCTTTTTCACTAGGATAGAGACTCATATTCCAAGCACAAGAACTTGCATGGAGTCTTACAGCGCATAAATTTCAAGTGGCATAAATTGTATCCATTTTTGTGGCTCCGGGAAGTACAGGAAGAAATTGACACCAGTCACCTCCAAAAACCATCACTATTCCTCCAAATGGTTGAGATCGATTATCTGGTGCAGCCACATAATAATCTGTCCATACATTCGACTGCGTATCGAGTTTGCATAGAAATCTCATCCCATACTATTACGTCAATGTCGCGCAACATCTTTCCTTGTACAGAAGCATCTACATTGGCAACAGAATCAGAGTTGAGTTGCCGAATTTGACCATCCTGTTTGGCAATTTGACCAATTTGGCAATTTTGACCATCCTTCAAAAGCGTGACAGCTTTCCAAGTAGAAGCGACAGCGATGATAAATCCACTGCTTTCAAGTACATGAATCAAAACGTTAAAGGTGCAAGTTTCGCCACAGCCGGCCTTTCTGTAAACGAAGAACACACGGTCTTTGCTTGTTTTGCCCGACTTAGCCGCAGACGTAACTCTTGTGACAATCTCTTCTTGCTTTTTATTGAGGTCATAAACAACAGGTCCAACACTCATACCTTCATTGTCATCTATGCTTGATACGCACGGGTTGCAATCATCATCATGCTCCTCTAGCAGCTTGTCCATAACTACGTCAGGGCCACGGCCAAGGTCATGCCATTGGAATTTGTGACATTTTCAATGTGCTTTAAAGAGTTTAAATCCTCATTCCTGTTAGATTGATTCATATTTCGTGTCCTCATTGCCTTGAACTTATGCCACAGTTTTACAATGTTAGAGGCTTATAATAAAGTATTATCTGCGCCGCAAAAAGTTGTCTAACTGTCGAAGGCACCTTCCGTTGTGAGAGCACAGCGCAGACATTCTTCCCCTTCAAAGCTCTTTCCGCTGTATTCAGCTGCTTGCGCAGCTTCCCCATCATACGTTGTTAAGTCTCTATTTTTGAAGGTTGTCGGCGGATCCACTCGTACTTTGGCAGACTTTCATGTTGGAAGCACGCACCATGCAACTGGACTCAGGACGTTGGCTGGAACTTGCTCTGTGAATTTC